TTTGGCCACGCCCCAATCTGCTGACCGCCTGCAGAAAAGCGCGAGTTTGCGGACCGCCTGCCCACGGCGATTATCTGAGCTGGTGGCCTCCCTCTGGCATTCTGACAAACAGCATGTAACCCGCGAAACGATATCCCCTTTGCTTTCCGCCCCAAAAACGATATCCAGCTTGACCCAGTGCCAGCTGTGGAGAGTCCTGACTGCATGTGATAAGGGAATGTCGAATAGGATGAAGAAACCGACTGGCTTTGTAAAGAAACGCCTTTTGAGAGCGAAGAAATGAAAGAAAGGGTTACGTCACGAACACTAAATGCAATGCAGCTATCAGGAGGTACAACAGAACTCGAAAGACGAAATGATGTCAAAACAACAAAAGCTGTTTTCTAACATACGTTCTACTCTTATGTTAGTTGATTACCGTAGGAAAAATGAAGAATGAGCAAAGAATACGCTAAAATTGCCTAGAACTTCTCACTCTGCGGCAATTGTTTACACGCAAGTGCTGCCACTTTTGCAGGCGCACCTTATTTGAGAAATTTACTGCCGAGCCTTCTGATCAGCTTTTATTATCTTCCGAGCCCTTCAATCAAGGCTCGGCACCAGCTGGAACCAGGAAAATTCCAAAACGAAGCCTTATTTGAATTTGAAAAAAAATTACGATTTCCTTTCTGACCTTTACCCCCCCCCCCCTCCCCGCCTCCCTTATCTCAATTGTCTTTTTTGCTTGTGCTTTCGCTCACAGCAGAATAGAAGGTATAAGGATAAATTCTCCTTTTTTTTTTACTATTTATGAACAGCGAAAAGATTTTCATCACTTTCCGCATCATCCGCCCATGCATTTTGCTCCTTAGTCGGAGCCTGAACCTAACTGTCCAGCGCTTGTCTCTTCCCTCCCCACCTTTCCCCACATCTCCCTTACTCTCCTACTCCCCTCATCAACCATCCACCTTATTTCCCATTTTCTCCTACTCCTCTCATCAACCATCCGACTTCTCCTTTCCTTCCCGTGAGAAGTTAACAGGTACTCAGACAGTCGACGGCATACCTCCGGAGCAGAAGTGGCAGGGCCGCGGGCTCTGCCCAGCGGGGTTTGCCACTCGTGCTCCGGAGCCCTCCCATTTTGTGCTCCGGAGCCCTCCCATTTTGTGCTCCGGAGGGAGGGACCGTAGATTCGCCCGCAGGAACGATTACTTTTGGATTAGAGCAGGAATCCTCCGTAGAGCACATTATCCTTCCAACGCTGAATTTGAGGATGCGCTTGCCAAATAACTCAATGTTGCGTCTTGCAACTCTATTACTGCAACTCTAATCTCCGTATCAAGCTTGTCGAGCCACTTTCTCTGGTCGTGATATGCACTGACTTATATCGGTGAAGCTTTTGCGCTCGGATGTACTCAATTACGGCTAACACTTTTTTTGCAGACGCTCTTGCCGCGTCTGTCATTTGAGCGGACTTCTTCTAGTGCCATGCTTGGCAACAGAAATCTATCCGAGAATATTTGAATTGGCAACAAATTTGTGCAAGTTGTGTACATTATCAAACTATCTTCCAGTAAACGTGGAACAAAGACTGATTTTATGAGGGCATCGCAGTTCAATGCATAAAGTAAAGCATGCGGAATAAAAAATACATCGCAGCGCCTTATTGCTCCGAAAAGGAGAACATTTCACAGTGTCAAGCTCTGCCATGATTTGCTTTGTAGTATTTCAGATTTACTTGAATCATTCAGGCCTAATGTAGAATCATTCTCCTTTTGTCATTTTATCATGTTCTTGTAAATCTGAAATACTGCAAGGGCTGACATGAGAACTGGAGTCATAGTTCAAGTTTGTTGAAGGTGACTTTGCAATTCTAATTGCAAAGGTCTCGGTTAATGGTGCCTACATTTTCGACAAACTAAGTCGTTAAACCTAAGCATCAGCATTTCAGATTCTTTTCCAAACTTATATTCTTGGCGAGCTTTGAAAAATGAAGTTCAGTGGTCTTTTTCCTCGTTACATTTCTGAGGAAAGCTCTATGCATCTGATACTTGAAGTAGCCTTTCAGGTCCAAGCAGCATGATGTATGGTGACAAAAATCTACGGCGTATCCCAAAACAATGTGCACACTGTATGATCGTTAATAACTCTCTTGCCTTCATGTCTTTTTGAAGAGGGCTGTACAAATTTGACGGAGCTGAAAAAAAAACAACCACTTCTCAAGAGCGAAGGCCATTTATGCTCATACATTGTAAACTAGGCATGTGCATATCATTAAAAAGAATAACAACCTCGACAATAAGCTGTCAACATGGTTAATATTTATTTATCTCCTTACCTTCGTACCTGAAATTTTCTCAACACAGCGATTTCAGGCGCTATTCGGCTATCCGGGCCCCAAAAATTTTTTATCATGGATTTCGCTCAAACTTGGCCCAGAGGGGTTATCTGACATGCTGATCACGAATATCACCTTTTCTCCGCAGGAAATTGCCTCCCTGCGGGGTTACAGTAGGATTACGGTAGAGGATCAAAATCACGGACTTGCCCGAGACTTGGCCTAGAGGGGTTATTCGGCCCGCTGATGCCAAATAACACATCTGTTTTGAACCATAGCGTCATTTTCTCGGGTTACGGTAGCTACATGGTAACGGGTGTAAAGCATAGTTCTGCCTGAAACGGGTGTACGACGATTTGGACGGTTGTGAAGCTTTGCACACACGACTACCGCCGCGCGCTACACACCCTGCTGCGGCTTTTGCCTAAGCAAAGCACAGGAGATACATTTGCCGATTTGTGATTTTGACTCCTACTGTAAACCTACGTAACCATGCAGGGAGGCGTTTTCGTGCGGAAGAAGTGTGTGACATTCGTGATCAGCATGTCAGATAACCCCTCTGTGCGAAGTTATAGCGGATTTTGAGATTTTGACCCCCTACCGTATACCCACCGTAACCCGAAAAAATGACGCTACGGTACAAAACTGATGTGATATTGGCGTCACCGGGACGAATTACCCCCTGGGCCAAGTTTCAGCTGAATCTACGATTTTGATCCCCTACCGTCTACCTACCGTAACTTCACCGGATGGCGCTGTCACACGAAATAAACATCATATTCGTGTTCAGCATGCCAAATACCCCTCTAGACGAAGTTTTAGGCATATTCGTGATTTTGACCCCCTACCGTGCACCTACCGTAACCCTGCAGGGAGGCGTTTTCTTGCGGAGAAAATGAGACATTCGTGATCAGCATGTCAGATAACCCCCCTGGACCAAGTTTGAGCGAAATCCATGACCAAAAAATTTTGGGGCCCGGATAGCCGAATAGCGCCCGATTTCACTTTGACAAAAGCACAAAAGATAAATCTTGGCCGCTCTCGAGAAGTCACGGCAAGAAGACGACGATCAACCGCTGATCAGTGCGCAACATTCACAATCAGAGACAAACTACGATGTTAAGAAGCTGGTATGATCGTCTCCACGATTCGTGTAGAGGCGGGTTGCGGACTTCCCCTGATTTTAAGGATGAACTTGTTAAACCTCTACTCATAGCATTGTTCTTCGCACTCTCTCGCTATCAAAAACCGCACGCTTTGAGTTGGCAAAACTCCGCCTCTACACGAATCGTGGAGTCGATGATACAAGTTAGTTTCCTGGTGCCACTTTTTTTGCAAGAATTTCGCTTATAGGCAGACTCCCCAATAGTCAAGGCATTCACTGAAGCTGAAAGGAGACGGTTGTCCAGATCGAAAAAGTGATATCTACTAAAGAGAAGAGGAAAAGGCAAATCAAACTTTTATGTACAAATTCAAACCGCATTAACGAAGAATTTTGTACTTGATGCTGATAGTAATGGAAACTTAGAGCTTGAGTAGCTCATCTTATGCTGTATCTGCGCGGTTTCCCAAAATCAGTTTCCGCTGGCGATACCCATTTGTCCAGATTTGCCTGGACGCCGCTTCCAAAGAGAGTGGCTCGGCAAGCTTGATACGGAGATTAGAGTTGCAGTAATAGAGTTGTAAGACGCAACATTGAGTTATTTGGCAAGCGCATCCTCAAATTCAGCGTTGGAAGGATAATGTGCTCTACGGAGGATTCCTGCTCCAACTCAAAAGTAATCGTTCCTGCGGGCGAATCTACGGTCCCTCCTCCGGAGGTGTCCCAAATCTGGCGTACCTCCGGAGCAGAGATTTGCAAGCCCGCCGGAGGGGTCCCATCCGCCTTCTTGTGACGTCCCGTGACGTCATGAGAAGGGACCGCCCTCTCGCCCCGCCTCCTCAATGGTTAGGAAGGCCCTCCGCAGCTCTGCCAGATTTCGACTGTCCTCCGGAGCTACGGCACCGACTGTCTGAGTATGTATAACAAGAAAGAACATAAAAAGAAAGAAGCATTTAGGAATGCAAGCATAAGCAAGGCCAAAATAAACTGCTAAGGGCGCGCTTTGCGATAGGAGCAGATTGCGCCGCCATCGACCTCTTTTGAGAGCTATAAAAAAGCCTAGAGGAAAGATTGTGAAGCGCTTTTTTGCTTGTACGAAAACTTTCACAGGGGCGACGCAGACAAGTATGAGGATTTATGTGAGCAAAGAGTCGGTTTTAATTGAGCTGGAACCCAGCTGGAACGGTTCCGGCCAATTTGAAAAAAAAGTTCAGCATGGTTTTCATTCACATAAGTTTTCATAAATATTTGAGACATAGTTCGAGTTTCCCACGCGCATGCGCACACCAAATTTAGTGTCATACCATTACGTTTTGATGTAAAAACGCGTTTGTTTGTTTGGCCCGCAAATGCTCGCGGCTCTTCTCCACGGATCCAATAACGATATCTCCTTTGCTTTCTCCCCTAGAAGCGATATCCAGCTTGATCAATTCCAGCTGTGCCGCGCGCTGACTGTAATTCCGGGTTCCCTTGGCGAAGCAGCACTTGTAAGCACGCATGAAAGGTCTTTGCGCAGTGCGAAGTTGTAAGCCAAAAGAACTTGTTATTGACAAAGACTGTAAGCTTGACAAAAAAATTTAGCACCAGGACGCATTGAGTTGATTAGCGAAGATGGATGCTGGTCATATGTGGGCAATAGACACAAGGTGCAGCCTCTCTCATTAGGCAAGGGATGTGAAAATGTAAGTTTACCACAAATGTGCAAACGGTGATCAGGATGAACATTGCAAGATTGAAGAGAAAGCACAAACCAAGACCAAAGCACTCTATAGGTGGGCGCCGCCGCACACGAAATTGGTCATTCCCTGGGTATGTTCCATACTCACTCAAGACATGACAGAGACGACTTTATCACTCTCAACACGCAAAACATTAAGGCAAGTTGTGTTTGCCTCGCATTAGAGGGTCCTCAAAAATTCATTGCAGTCCAAGTACCTTGATCAGTTTGAAAAAGCGACCCCGGAGTTAAATGACAATTATGGCATAACGTATGACTACGGTAGCATTATGCACTACGGAGCGTCAGGGTCAGGGATGCTTGCAATATCAGCATACACTGGAGAATTTTCATGTTCAGTTTTGCAAATGAAGGAACATACTCCATGGTACCACTTGATTCGGATTACACCCAAACACTTGGCTCCCCCTTCATTTCTTTTTACGAAAAGCTTATGATGAACATACATTACAATTGTCTAGGTTTGCTCATCGACAAAGACTGTGCCTATTATTGACATTTTTTTACTCAGAAAAGTGCGGTAAAAATGCCAAAGCAGCAAAATGTTCTATGGGCGGCTTTCCGAACCCTCGCGATTGCCGCATATGTGTTTGTCCAAGCGGCTACGGAGGCAAACTCTGCAATAAGAGGGTAATGTTGTCTACATCCATGCAATGCATGAAACCGCTTTTGCAGCCATCGGGATGCGGAAAAACCTTGAAAGCTAAACCATCACCTGAGAAACTCGTGGACGTCTTGGGAGATGATTCAAAAGAGAAAAGAGAGAGAGAAGATTTCATGTTTTGCCACTACTGGATTCAGGTCCGAATTTGCAACTTAATACGAGTTTGTACTCAATTTTTGCGTTAAGGCGCCAAGAGAAAAGAAAGTGGAGGTCAAGATGATGGGCTTCACCGGCGGTATAGCAAGTGATGGATGTTATTATGGGGGAGTTGAGATAAAGGCTCATAAAGACCAGCGTCTTACTGGATACAGGTACTACGGTGAAAGCCGGAATCATATCAGTGTTCAAGCTGAAGGCCCACTAGTTGCACTAGTCATACCGTTTTTAGATTCTGTGCTCCTGAGAATGCTGGGAAAACATTAGTATCACACTCAAATCTAATGCCTGTAATCACCTACAACAGGGTCAACAAAACCACTACAATATTGCAGTACCGTTCCAGTAAGTTGCACTATACATTAACACGTTTCGGACCGGTGCTGCACATGGTGCAGCACGCTATTTTGAAGGGTCTTTTTGACATTCACAAGAGGTTTTCTTTTACTCTAAGGTTACCAAGCTAAAGACCTAGGCTCCTACTGTCTAAATGACCCTATGCGGCTATGCCGCCTTTATTCGTTTAAAAGATATGAGGACAAATCAAACAATGCTTGCAACAAAGTGCGGCGATGCGAACGACGCGTGCGACGTCGCAACTTTTCTTTGCTTTGATTTCAAAGAGAAAAAACTTAGTTGTAGCAATGATGTGTACCGTGTGCAACATTGATTGGATACTATTAGATCCTGTCCCTATCTTTCAAGAAAACATGTGAGTCTTTCTCAAGTGACAAAGTTCAAACACTTCGAATTCATTCAGAACTTCGGATATGGAGCTTATCTGACATGATGATTACAGATATAACACATAGTTTGCGAAATAAGGTCCCTATGTTGATTAACGGCTGGCATTCTTTTTCGCCGCGCGCGATTTCGCGGTCCGAAACGTGTTAATGAGGAAGCTAGCGCTCTCGCCGATTCGCAGTGTTCGATTATTGTCGAATTGGGGGCGTGGATTCGCTCAGCTATCCTTCCGCTTAGCGACATGTTTTGAGGAGCAGCTAACTAAGCTCACATCGCACTAAAAAGCTTGCCTCATCCCTCAATCACATAATTTCTCCTCACATTCTCAAGGTTTCTTCCTCCTAAACCTGTTTCGTCTACATACCACAGTGCCACTATAGGGCAACTATGACTCTGGGAGCAAACACAACATGTCCCGTTTAACGTTTATTGGACATTGACTTAGCTTACAACAGAAGAGCTGACTTATAAGCTCCTGCAAGACGAAGGCGGTCGGTTCGGGGTGCAACGCGGCTGCGACATGGCTGCGTCACAGACGCGTCACAGCCGCGTCACAGCCACGTCGCTCATCGAACCGATCGCCTTCGTCTTGCAAGAGCTTATAGCTTACAACATAAGAGCCCCGTTGACCCCCGAACTCGCCCGCTTTACTGCGGAATGATTGGTGTATAGGTCGGTTCGGCCACAATACGTAGTAAATGGTCAAACATCTGTTGGATTAAATTACCTCATCTGTACTTTTACTCTTTGTAGGTCTTCCAGGATTCGATAATATTTCGGTTCGGGATAGGTTGCTGGTTATAAACAGCTTTCTCGCCATTTTCTCACCTAATTCTGCGATTTCGATAGTCTTTTGGTGAATATGCACACCAAATCGGTGGCTCTGGTCATATACTCGGTAAAGTTCGTCTGGATTTCTACCTCTTCCAGATCTTCATCCGCATCTATTTCACTGATCTTGCGGGCCTCTTCGTAATCTCGCAGCAGTTGGTCTATTACCCTATTTTCAGGTGTATAAGCCGCGGGGTGGTCCTAGCTTACATCGAGCAGCCCGAACACATCAATGGACCTCGCATCTAAAGGACCCTATAGTGTGCTGCGTATTGCCTGAAAGTATCGTGCGGTATAAGGATCGCTTCTCGAAACACAATGAAGCGGCTGAGCAGCCCGGGCGAAAATTTGAAAAAGTGCGGCTTATACACCTGAAAATAGGGTAATAACCGCAGCGAATTTTTGCTAATTTGGATGATATTTATGGCACCTTTTATGCTGTTACTTGCTTCGCGACACGCTTCAAAGTTGTCGTCAAATGAAGCGTGCAGTTGCAATTCCTTCGTATATGGTGTGAATTTATCCACACATACTTGAAGGGATTGTATGCCGCGAGTAATGGCTTTTTTATGTATAAAGTTAACATTGCACAAGGCGTTGTCGTAGTTGAATTCTACAAAGGATAGAACTATTAATGCGCTGCTTATCGCAGGGCTAGATAACGGCTCAGAAATGTGGCGGATGCACCAGAATCGTGCCACTATAGGGCAACTATGACTCTGGGAGCAAACAAAACACGTCCCGTTCAGCGTTTATCGTGACACCGACTTAGCTTACAACAGAAGAGCCCCGTTGGCCCCCGAACCCGCCCGCTCTACTGTGAGATGGATGTATAGGTCGGTTCGGCCACAATACGTAGCAAATGGCCGAACACAAACTTAGTACCATAACGTTATTTTGCGTTGTAAACGGCTCAGCTATTAGGTTGTTCGGAAAAATAATGTCGCATCGTGTTTTATCATGCAATATAGCGGCAGGGTGAGCACGAAAGTGAGTAAGTGGGGTGATAAGTGCAAGGCGATAGATCAGAGCAAGCTCTATGAAATGAATTTCAGACCTTCGCACCAGGTTTGATTTGCGTGAAGTTCGGAGCCAAATTTCACAAGGCACTAAAGATCTAAAGAAACGAAAAAAACCGTATTTCCGTTCAGAAAAGTTCTGGGAACCTCTAAATTGCACACGCATGGGCTCACTATACGAGACACTCGTATGCACATTTCGACGTTTTTCCATGGCTGGAAATTGCGAAAACAAAATTTGGCATATTTTTGTCAAAGCAATCCCGAGCTTCTCTCAAATAGATGATTCTGTAGTATGAACCTTTAAGAGTGTAACCATGAATCTTCAACTTCAAACAAGCGCTAGTTTTCAAGAAAAATCAAATTTGCAGAAAAAAGACCCGAAAAACGTGACATATTCGCACTTTTGACCTATTTTTGTTTGTCGCACTGTAGCCATGGAAAAATACAACAAGCTGTACAGGTGAATGTCTAGTGTGGAGAGTACATGCCTGTGCAAATTGGAGCGAAGGTTTGTAGACTATCTCGTAGAGCTTGCTTTGCTCTATCAAATGATACCCCATTCGCTGTTTTTTGTGGTCACTCTGTCGCGGTAGGTGCCATGCGACAAGATTTTCCGGACAACCTGATACTTATCAGTTCGGGAACTTGGTTTTCGAGTATGCCTTGAGTAGGTCGTGCTTGAAGGCAGCGGGCAGGTGTGACGAAAACGAGGAAAACGTAGAGTGCAATAGCGCCCGTCTTGATGAAGCTCTTGCCCAAATGGCATTGCACCATTTGCTTTTCAAAGCATGGTGAGACGTCCTTAAATCGATAAGTCAGAGTGCGCATATCGCACACTCTCAAGACGTAACATTTGATTCAACTGGCTTGGCACCATTAGGGTGGGGTTTTGTGATCTAACTGAGGCCGCTCGCGCCCGCAACGCACCTGCGTCTCTTTCGCGCGAGTGCTCTCTGATCATTACCTAGCCTTAATTAGGTCACGAAGCCCCGCCTTTGCCGATGCCAAGCCAATTATCAAATGGTGAGTCCCACCATTTGCGTCTTCAAATTGGCGGCAGGCGTCCAAAGTCAAAACCAAGGGTTTCGTCAGTTGTGTAAAAGCTGTACACAGGCTGTCGATGTCTGAAGGGTAGCTGGTGCAATTGATCGTGGTCACGATACCCCATTTCAGACGCTGGCCATTCTCGTAACTCTGTTGTAAAGTTCTCGCATCTTGATCAGGTGCCTAACTCAGACAATCGCCGGGGGCAGGCGGGCACCGGAAAAATAGATTGCTGATCTCTCGCACCCCGCTCGCGGATTTTTTGGAGAGCAATCAGGACTTTTCGGAAGGCCGCTTGCTGAGTTCTCGATTCCTCAGAGATTCAGCAATATATCTGCAAAAGATAAGAGCGAAAAAAAATTCAACAGGCGGTCTCTCAAAAATCCGCTGACTCAGCAAGCGGTCTTCCGAAAAGTCCTGATTGCTTTGCAAAAAATCCGCGAACGGGGTGCAAGAAATCAACAATCTATTTTTCCGGTGCCCGCCTGCCCCCAGCGATTGTCTGAGTAATGTCCCCGACCCGAGACTCAGCGAAGTATCGGAGCCGAACTAAACTTTGTTTTTGGGGCAAAAAGCAAAGAGGGTTGTAGAACACGTTGAACATGAGACAAATAACCCTGCAGACATGCTGCCTTGTTTCACTTTTCCCTTTGAGTTGATACTTGACACAAAATCCAGTCGATGTCAACCACATGCTCCCTTTTCAGGGGTAGGGAAACGAACTCCGCCAGTTTGAACCGCCTCCGCGGACTATCGTTCCTGCAACGACATGCAACAATATAGCAAAAGGACCAGCTGCCAGCGAAAGCGGGCTCAAAGTGGCGGAGTTCGTTCCCCTACCCCCCCCCCCCCCTTTTCCGTACCGTTAAGCATCCGCAGCGCGTAGGCATTGCGCAGCGGTCTCTTGATGCGGAAAATTTGAACGCTCAAACTGTACGCTCGCAAACTCCACAGGGATCCTAGCGGTGCGCTTAAGCTGATCAGAAAGAGAAAACATCCGTTGATACGGACTGCACATGCTCCAACGTGTTTTTTTACAAGCGCGCTAGATTCAGAAGCAATGTGAAAATGAAATTGGCTTATTTGCAGCGCAGAAACGATTATATGACACCAGAGCTGAACTACTGTATAAATTATTCTTGTGTCAAAAAATCCGAGATACTCATGTGAAGTATGTTGATGCCCTTTTATGCTTCAAGCCAGCCCTCAGATGATTAGAAAGGCTTGTTCTGGCCAGTTGAGTCAGCTTCGAAAACATTTCCAAATTAGATCTTCCTTCCCATATTTCGTTTATTTTTAATTTTTATTTTTTTTACAGCTTCTCTCTCTTTGCATATGACACACTCAAATTTTCCCATTATGTAGGTCGTGACGTAAGCTACAAGCATAGCCACAGTTCTCCAAATTTCTGACGTCGCAGTGAGGGTTACGGTGGGTACATGGTGTAAGGGGAAAAATATAGATTACTAGCTGGCTTACCCGGCTCCGCCCGACCCTGTCAAAGACGATAAAGGTTCCATTTCTATCCCTGCACACTTTACCGGTGCCCTTCTTCTACATGCAATTCCCTATTCCCGATGTGTGAGTAATCAGTACGCTCATCTACCTTCCTCACCAACCCCCAGCTCCGTGAACTTTGCAAAAAAAAAACTAATTTGTGAACCGTTGCAGGTAAGGTGTTGAGCAAATCTGGAACCTCGACCCATCTACACCCACCTATCCTGCAAAACCAGCATGATATTCATGTTCAGCGCGCTAAATGACCACCCTAGACGAAGTTCAAAGCAAATTTATGTTTTTGACTCCATGCCGTATAACCTCCTAACTCTATGAAAAGGTCCCAATATGCAGAGAGAGAGTATGAAATTCGTAATCAGTATATCGAATAAGTTCTCTGGACCGAACTCTAGCCGAATTCATAATTTCGACTTTCTACCGTACACCTACCGTAACCACACGGGAAGACGTTCTGCGTAGGTGTGATATCTGTAATTAGCATGGAAGATAACCCTTATACACGAAGTTTGAGCAAGCTCTACGGCAAAATTTTTGGGGCCCGGATAGCCGAATAGCGCCAAACTAATATTGCACTCGTAATCACCATGCTCGAACACCCCCCTGTGCCAACTCCCAGCCCCGTAGCTCAAACTTTACAAAAAGTCGATAAAATCGATAAAAGTAATCGATAATTCTGAAAACTAAAATTGTATTCGTAATCAGCATGCTTGATTACCCCCCTGTGCCAACTCCCAGCCCCGTAGCTCAAACTTTACAAAAAGTCGATAAAATCGATAAAAGTAATCGATAATTCTGAAAACTAAAGCTGTATTCGTAATCAGCATGCTTGATTACCCCCCTGTGCCAACTCCCAGCGCCTTAGCTCAAACTTTACAAAAAGTCGATAAAATCGATAAAAGTAATCGATAATTCTGAAAACTAAAGTTGTATTCGTAATCAGCATGCTCGACTACCCCCCTGTGCAAACTCCCAGCCCCATAGGACAAACTTTACAAAAAATCGATATCGATCGATGACGAAAAGTAGCCTATGACACCCGCCGGGGCCCGAAGTGTATGTGCGCCAAGTTTGGTCCGGATCGGTTCAGAAATGGAATTTTCTATTCGGAACATACGTACATACAGACAGACAGACAGACAGACAGACAAACAGACATTCAGCTTTATATATAAGTTACAAATTTGGGTGAAACTTTGCGTAGGTGAATTATTTGACATGCTGCAAGAAAACGATATTGGTGGCGCATTTTAGGGTCTTTTGTAAGGTTGCAGCAGGTTTACGTAATGGGGTCCCCCGCTAAACAAGAAAAGAGGCGTTAACTCAAAGGCAGTGGCTCGGCCAATCTCAACCTAGTCAAATTTTCGCTTAACTGGGGTTATTCGATATGCTGATAACGAAAATCCACTTTAGAGAGGTCGAAAACGGCAAAAATGAGCGTTTTCAACTTCCTTCCCTTCAAAATTGGACGAGTGGAGCAAGGCTGATGACGCTGAATCGTTGCCGGACCCAATGATTATAGCATTGCGGCGGGCAGCCTCCAATGGTGAGAAGCAAGTTGCCATTTCGTCCGGGTGCGTGTAAGATTGGCTTGCGCGGGTAAACT